CCTTTGGACCCCAAAGCAGTCATCATAATATTCTGAACTAAACTGACACTCTTGTGGCCCAGCAAATCTTTTGGAATCCTCTCAAAAATCCTTTTAAAAAATCAAGGTAGTTTAATTCTTTACATAAAATTATACATAATTTGGCAAAAATAGAAAATACTCAAACATGCTGAAAGTCTTATAGATATGAACATTAGGAACACTTAAAATTGGCAGAGGCAAAAGTATAAGCTTATTATGAACAAGGGATATTCACCTTTCTGCTGATGTCATTGCACTTTTTTGGGTGGTTTTATTTTTAGCAGTTCTATTGACATAATTCACATACACAATTCAATAGTTCATTTATCAAGTAGAGTTGTATCACAATCAGTTTTGGAAATATCCTTTTTTTAAAAACTTTTTTGGCGAAGATATCCTAATGAGACAGAAAATTTAACTGCATCTGTATACTGATTATCTCAGTGCAATTTTTAAACCCACTTTCTTTGGGATAAGCCTGTGCATTTCTGAACTGGAACTACAGTAGCAGTATTTTGTTTATTTACCATTGTATGTCTGTACTCATGCGATTAAGTGTTCGTAAATTTGAAGAAATACAGTAACTGGTACGTGGTTCACATATTTTCGCTGATAATTGTAAATTGATCTCATTAAGGATTTATTAAATTTATATTCATCACTATCGTTTACGAGAACATACTGTTAATATTCAAGATAACCCATTGATTGATTGATGCCACCTCGTCAAGTCTGACTCGTGTTGACCTCTTGTGCACAGTAGAACTGCTGCTTTGGCTTTTCAAGGCTGTGACCTCAGAGGTGTTCAAACCGCAACCTTTGGTTTGTAGTCAGCCTGTAGCTGCTCACACCACCCAGGGACTCCTTAGCTCAGTGTACAGATGATGAAATGCTTTGGAGAAGGATTAACAAACATGCCGAGGAAACCAGAATTAACACAACTGAGTTTGAGATGTCAAATTCCATTTAAGATGATGCAGGGTCAGTACTTTTCCCCCATCTTTAAAAATATTTATTTAATCTTTCTTTCTGCTCCCTCCCTTTCACTCCCCTCAACCCCACCCATCAAAGCCTGTTTCTTTTGGTATGGAAACCTTTTGTCATTTTTCCCTTTTTTAACAACGGCTTCATATCAGTATTTGTCCTTTTATTTTTTAGCATTTTTATTAGAACTTCATCCACATGGCATATAAATTCAATAATTGAATCATCAAGAAGCGTTATACATTTATCACCACATTCAATTCTAGTACATTCTCTTCTTGTACTCATTGTTATTCATGTAATTAAATTGTTTGGTGGCAAAAACACACACAACAAAACATTCTTCAATTCCACAACTTCTACATGTATAATTTAGTACCATTGATTATACTCTTCATGTTGTACAACCATTGTTGAGATCCTTTTACAAATTATTCCACCGCCATTAACATCAACTCAGTGCCGCTAAGCAACAACTCTATTCTCCTTCACCCATGGTAACCATTGGTCAAGTTTGGTTCCTTTTTTTTTTAAAGTAGTTTTCTTGATACAGTATTCATATATACACTTCCATGGTTAAATCACTTTAAAAAAGAGTTGCTTATACATCACAATCAGTTATAGTGTTCCCTTCCCAACTCCCGCATTCATTGCTCAAATCCCTTCACTCTTCCCCACTAACCCCCCATTCCTACGCCACATCTCTGATAAACCATTGCATCAATTATTTTCTCTGTGCATCCACTCCTGTACTTCACAAACCGGGAAACCCAACAGAAACAAGCAGCATAAGACAAGAAGAAAATAATACAATAAAGAGTAAGAAAGAAAAGCCCCCCCCCCCTAAAGAAAGACCACCATCAATATTTAATGTTTGTCCATGTATGTGATTAACTTCACATCCTATCTTCTAAGTCCATTTAATCATTATTCTTTAGCGATGCATAATGTTCCATTGTATGTATGTACCAAAGTTTATCCATGTAGGTTCTTTCCAACTTTTTGTTGTTGTGAGTAGTGCTGCGATATACATGGTGTATACGTATTTGCTTGTGTTTTTCTCCTTTTTCTTTAGGGCATATACCAAATAGAAAGATTGGTGGTTCATTTGGTAGTTCTATTCCCATTTGTTTAAGAAGGCCTCATGTTGCTTTCCACAGTTGTATAGTTTTAAAATACCTTCAATGGAGTCTCAAGCTTCTAATTTCTCCACATTCATTCCAACATTTGTTATTTTCTGTTGCTTTGAACTTTGTTATCAGTGCCAGTGTGAAGTGGTATCTTACCGTTTTGATTTTCATTCTCAAATGGATAGTGACTGAGCATTTCTTTGTGTGTTTTGGCTGCCTTGGATGCCATCTTTACTGAACTATATTCATTTCCTGTGCCCATTTTTAATTGGATTGTTCATCTATTTTATGTTGAGATCTATAGATTAAGAACAAAAGTAGGATCTAGAGCTGTGCTGTGAGATTCCTCTGGAGTACTATTTCTTTGGAAATTTGGAGTACTGTATATGGGCCATGGTTAGTTTCACAGTGCCTGAGAGTACTTACTAGTATTAATAAGTGGGGTGTGTGTGGTTGTGTGTTGATCATGGCTGTTGGTATCCCCTTCCCACTCTCCTCTCTCCACCTTCTCCCTAACCCTTCTTATGCAGTACCCTTTTGTGTTCCTGATTTTGTTTATTGAGGTTTAATTTACGTACAATAAACTGTACATACTTAAAATATTGAATTTGATAAAATTTGACCAATGCATGTACCCATGAAACGATCAAAATCAAGATGGTGAATGTCCACTTCCCAGAAAGTTTTGTTATATCCCTTTGTAATTTTTCTTTTCTGCTCTTCCCTGCACTTTTCCTTATATAACCATGGATTTGCTCTGTGTTGCTGTGTATTAGCTTGCATTTTATAGAATTTTACATAGGTGAACTACAGTATACTTGTTTTCAGCTGCTTTCACTTAGTGTAATTCATCATGTCATTGTATATGTTTCTTTTGATCTTTTCAGTGCTGATAGTTCATCTGTTGCTGGACATTTGGTTGATGGACAGGTTCTGCCTGTCAGAGAAGGAAAACGCAAGTTTTCCCCCATATATAGTGATAGAAAAGTTGTAAAACGACAATTACACCTTGTCTAAGATAGTAAACAAGACCTGGAAAAACAAGACACTTCCATTGAGTTCTAGGTCTCGCAATATTTGCTGCATATGGTTTACACATATTTTCCTCCTAACTTTTGCTATTTTGTGGAATGTGCTTTTGATATTGTCTATTAGAAGTCTTGGGTGACAAATAACAGAAACATGGGTGAAGGGAGACCACAGATGGTATAAGATATGAAAATAATAATAATAATATATAAGTTATCAACAGTTCATGAGGGTGGGTGAGGGAAGAAAAAAATGAGCTGATATCAAGGACTCAAGTAGAAAGAAAATTATTTGAAAAGGATGATGGGAACATATGTACAACTGTGCTTGATAAAGTTGATGTTTGGATTGTTATAAGAGCTGTAAGAGCCCCTAATGAAATTATTTTTAAAAATTACTGTATGTACTTGAGTATAAACCTACCAGAATATCAGCTGAGGCACCTAATTTTACCACAAAAACTGCATAAAAATGTGCTGAAACCAGAGGATGTACACTGGTACATATCAGAGAAGGAAACACAGGGAATCCAGAACAGATAAACCCCTCGGAACCAATAATGGAGAGTAGTCATACCAGGAGGGGAAACCAATCATAATGATCCACATATAACCCCCTCCTTGGGGGATGGAAAGCAGAAAAGTGGGTGAAGGGAGACATCAGACAGTGTAAGACATGAAAAAATAATTATCAATTATCAAGGGTTCGTGAGGGAGGGAGTGGGGGAAGGAAGTGGAAAAAATGAGCTGATACCAAGGGCTCAAGTAGAAAGCAAATGTTTTGAGAATGATGATGGCAACAAATGTACAAATGTGCTTGACACAATGTATGTATGGATTGTGATGAGTTGTAGGAGCCCCCAATAAAATAATTTATTTTAAAAAAATGTGCTGAAAAACTCGGCTTATACATGAGTATATATGGTAATTAAAAAAAAAGTCTTTACCTAACTAACCCTTTGGGAGTTTTATGATGTTACGTTACACATTTAGATCTATGATCTGTCTTGAGTTAATTTGTGATTGTGGTACCAAGTATGGATCAAATTTCTTTTGAATTTGCAGGTATATTTTCAATTGTACCAGCACCATTTAGTTAAAACAAAACAAAGCAGTCCCTTTTCACTGAATTTACACTTTTGCCAAAACCTTTTTTACTTTATGTGTCAGTTTACTTATGGACTTTATATTTGTTTCATTAATCTCTGCTTATGGCATAGGCTCTATGACATTACAGTACTGTTTGGTTACTGCAGCTTTATTATAATTTTTTAATATTGTGAATTGGGTGGGCATTTTATATTTCAGTTAATTAACTCGGCATTCAACTCCCTCTTGTGGGCCTCTGTCTTCTATTTGACCCCAGTCAACACCGTCAACCCTCCAGTCTGTTGCTACATCTTCCCTCTCTTGTCCTCCTCTCCTTGGTAACTGGCAAAGTCTGTGTCCTTTAGTTTGCAAGTATAACATTTCTGAAAATTAGTTATTAGTACTGTAAATTTGCTCTTTTTCAAAGTTACTTTGCCTTTTTTAGGACATTTCCATTCTATATGAACTTCATAAACATGAATTTTAGAATCGTTTTGACAAAAAAGCCTGCTGGGATTTTGATGGGGATTGCTTTGATAACCTGAAGCATTGAGTCCATTGAGCTTTCTGACATACTATTGAGTCTTCTGACTCAAGAAGATCTCGGTCTACATACTTAGGCCTTTAACTTCTCAGTGTTTTGTAGTTTTCAGTGCACATGTTTTCCATTTATTTTGTCAAATATATCGCTAAGTATTTAATGCTTTTTTGTAAACAGTATTGATTTTAAAACTTGATCTCCAACCAGGTCTTATCCAATAAACATGTGGCTCCTGATCATCTGTTGCAAATCTGTCAGCGGATTGGTCCTATTTTGGATAAAGAAATTCCACCCAGTATTTCAAGAGTGACTTCTTTACTTGGTGCAGGAAGGCAGTCTTTGCTACGTACAGCAAAAGGTACCTTAATTTGAAGAAGTGTTCTGCTTTGTATTAATAGTTTAGTCATTGTAATTGTGATGTAATGTAAGCATTGTGGAAGAAAGGTGATATGTAACTACAAATCATCCTGTGAACTATAAAATTCTCACCATTTAGCATAGAGCATTGAATTTTATTATAGAAGTGTTTAATGAGTCCTTCTGCCTCTAAAAATATTAATTAGGTATAGATGTTAAGCTATAAAAATCTTTACCTTATTCTGAGATGTGCTTGAGGTTTTAACAATGTGAATTCTTAATTTTTTATTTTGTAGCTTAGTTTTCGCTGAATGTAATTGTATGTGTCTAATAAACGTTTAAATGCTAGAAATATTTCATTTGATAGTAGATCCTGAACTTTTCTAAATTTGATAGCCATTTGAAAACATCACCAAAACTGTACAATTGCATGGTTCTGTTTTTTTAACCAGCTTATTTTTTTCACAAAGTTATGTGGTAGCAAAATGAATGAATTTTACTATTTTCTGTTAGCTTGGTATAAATGACCTAGAATGAGTACATGTATGTGATAAAGATTTATGTATAAAACATGGCTCAACTGCTAATGGGAGATTGTTGGTGGCTTGATCCTTGGCATGCATGAAGTTAATCCCATGATAATTTTTGATAAGAGCTGTTGCTGATATGATGCTGCTCTTTAGATGCAACACTAGTATAAATGTTTGACAGAAAGAGCAGCCCACTCTCTTGGTTTCATGCTAGTTTGGTTTGTCAGCTGTCATTGTTGCCTAGTGCTCAATAGTCATGCCACAAAGTGGCTTGATTCAGGTTGATGTTCATATTCTTATGTGTCCCTATTTACCTTGTAATTATTCTACATTAGGTTGTTAAGTAGTGGTTTCTTGGGTGGTCTGTTTTCCTTGTGTTACTGCTCAAATGTGGTGATTCAGTGATGAGCACAACTTTAAAAGTGGCAGCCCTTTGAGGACTTCACTGATTAAATACAGTAAGCTGCCCTAGCATAGGGGCCATATTTCTCTGTTTGTCTTGTACTAGTGCCATGAGGGAATGCCATGTAACTGCTCTTTGATCATGATGGTGGTAATGAATCCATTCATGTAAACCTAATATACCTGTTAGTTTGGGGCACCCGAGGCTCAATAGAGGTTTTGTATGATGTACGTTCTCCCTTCCTCTTTCAGCTTTGAGAGACTCATTTTCTAACACAGCAAAGATTGCTCGTAACCTGTGTTCTGCTACTGTCTCTTATAGAGGAGGGCAGATGATTTTTCTTAGTATTTGCTAGTAGATTGAAGAGGAATGGAACCTTGGGATTTGTGTTCAGATGCATAGATCCGACATAGGTGCTCCTTCTTGTGTACAGGATGATCTGATAATATACTAAGAGGAGAGCCATTTATATTTAATTTTTCAGTACTTCCTAAGAAAACTTAAAGTCATGGGTAGTATTGGCCAAATCAATATGAAAATTGAAGGCCATTTAGATACATTGATTTTGTTAAGAATTTATACATACATCAAATAAATTAAATTTTTCTTAACAAAAGCCTTTCATTTTGGAAAGTTGGATCAGGTGTGATTAAGTCCTTTTATCTTTAATACTATATGGCTTAATTCCATATTGAAAAATAAAAATGTACTCTGGGACTTTCAATCAAGGTCTTTTTTTATGGTCCATGCCTACTAATTATTTGCAGTGGATCTCTTTAAAGGTCCTGGAAACTTTGAGCCTCAGTTACCTCACTTATAAACTGATGATAATACCTACCTCACAGGGTTGTTGTGAGGATTTAAATGAGATACAATGTATGTTGAACGCACTTTGTAAATTGTAAAGTGCTGCACAAATGTTAGTTGTTGTTGCTGTTGTATCTGAGATGTCTTAAACTTTTTTTCTTCAGAAATAGTCTAATAAACCATCAGGGCTATTCTGTTAAAGTATATTAGTTGGTTAAACTTTGAATAAACAGTTTATTACAATATACGTAAGTATTCTTTAAAATCTTTTTTGGGGTTAACTTTCAAGATTTTATGTGTATCTAAAATTCATTTTAAAGACTGCAGGCACACAGTTTGGAAGGGCTCTGCCTTTGCTGCTCTTCATAGAGGAAGACCACCTGAAATGCCTGTGAATTATGGCTCCCCACCAAATCTTGGTAAGTGGAGCTGGCCTTTTATTTATTTTAAATCATTTTATTAGGGGTTCGTGCAACTCTTATCACAATCCATGCATACATCCATTATGTCAAGCACATTTGTACATTTGTTGGAAGTTGGCCTTTTAAATGCCCTAAAGTATTTTTTTATTTTCTTGAACAACTTTGAAAATGCTACTGCAATGTTTAAAAGGAAATAGTGGTACTATGGTTTTACTAGTACCAACTCAAATGTCAGATTTTGTTGTTTCCTTAAGTAATTTCCTAAAAAATAGGAACGAATTAAAAAATATGTTCATAAGAAATCAGTATGAAAAAAAAAAGAAGAAATCAGTATGACTGATTATAGTAATATAATGGGAAGAAACTTAGGTCCTAAAGATTTCTGGAGTATTGATTTAGTAACCCTTTGGAAGTTATTGTTTTTATTAGGTTGGGGTTTCTGTGAGTTAAAAAATTTGCTAACGGGCACTTAACATAGAATATTTGACTTTATTTATTAGTTTTTTACATATAGGCACTCCCTTAACTTTTTCATTATTTTTATTTCCTAGTGGAGATTCATCGAGGAAAACAACTCACAGGGTGTTCCACTTTTAGCACAGCATTTCCAGGAATTATGTATCAGCATTTAAAAATGCACAGAAGGATTCTTGGACATCTATCTGCTGTTTATTGTGTAGCATTTGATAGAACAGGACATAGAATTTTCACAGTGAGTTAACATTTTAAATTTAATTTGGGGCTCTGGTAGTGTTCATTAGTGGCATTGTGAGAATCTCATAAAATTCAGTTAGATTTCCTATTCTCAGGGAAAAAGATTTTGACTCCATGTGGATCTCTGGTGGTGTGGTGAGTACACATTGGGCTATTAATGAGGTCAGCAGTTTGAATCCACCAGCCATTAACATTCCACAAGAGAAAGATGAGGTGGTCTTCTACCATGAAGATTTACAGCCACAGAAATCCACAGGGGCAGTTCTACTGTATCTTGTAGGGTCACTATGAGTCACAATTGACTTGTTGGCTGTGAATTTCGAGTTTTGGAGGGTCTAATATGAGACTCAAGGTACCTTAAGTAGTTAAGATGCAGATAGTTGGGATTTTGTGTTGTTTTGAAAGACATTCATTTAGAGTAGTGATTCCTAAGCATATGACCATTGAAGTGGTTTTAAAAAGTTAAGAAAAAAATCCACCTTTCCATTATCCCCTGTCGACCTACTAAATTAGGTTTACTTCTCATAAGTGTATTAACAACAAAAAATCGTAAAAAAAAATTTTTTGGGGGGGCTCTTACAATATTCTGTACATTAATTGTATCAAGCATATATGTACATACATTACCATAATCATTTCCAAAACATTTTCTACTTGAGCCCTTGGTACATGCTGTTTAATAAAAAATCTTTTATAGGTGATTTTTATTCATACTGATTAATCACTGATCCAGAGAAAATGTTGATAATAAAAAATATTTCAGGGTTCCAAAGGATTAAAATTTTTAGAATTTAAGTTAACCATTCGAAAACTTCAAAGGGAAATTAGAAGAGTTAAGAATTTTCAATTTCATTTTCCAGATGTGAGATTCATAATAGCTTCTTCCTACTGAGTGAATGAATGTTGGTTGACCCTATAAATTTAGACACTGGATCTTAAAATTAGGGTGCTAATGTCCAGTTTATTATTTGGGGGGATTGCCACTTGTTTCTCAATCGATGAAACTGACTTCATTAACCATTATTAATTGAAATAGATGAGCCATGAACTTTTAGTTGTACTTATTACTTGTTAGACAATTTGTATAGTATAATAGCAAGTTAATATATCATCCAGCTTATAGGAGTTATAACATCACTGTGTCATTAGGCAGATTTCTTTGGTTTTAAAACAAATACTATTAAATTTATAGAGTATCATACGATTGGAAAGCGAGGAAGTTACAGTCTGGGTAGCATGTAAAAAGATTCCTTTAAAAGACTTTGTGTACTGGTGGGTACACATTTATTTTTGGGTCGTTTTTTTTTCCCCCGTAGGGGTCAGATGACTGCTTGGTAAAGATTTGGTCAACACATAATGGCCGTTTATTATCCACATTAAGAGGTCATTCTGCAGAAATTTCAGATATGGCAGTAAACTATGAGAACACAATGATTGCTGCTGGGAGCTGTGATAAAATAATTAGAGTATGGTGCTTGAGAACTTGTGCCCCAGTTGCTGTGCTACAAGGACACACAGGATCAATTACTTCTTTACAGGTAAATGTTTTAACTGTTATGTGTACAGTGAACCCTCGTTTATCGCGGTTAATCCGTTCTAGACCCTACCGTGATAAATGAAATTCCGTGAAGTAGGATTCCTTATTTGTAAATCAAATATTTTCGTAGTTAGAGCATAGAGGACATGAAAAAA